TCGTTGTAGAGAACTGGGCAGCTGCTCTTCTCTCCCCTAACTGTCACTCCACACTTCCCCAAAGTCTGGCAGCTTTTTTCAGCTTGCTGGTGAGATAGCTGTGCAGCACCACACAGCTCTTCTCCTGTCCCCTCTGCCGGGTGAATGTGTGGGCTGTTACAGCTTTATTCTTGAGGAACTGGGAAGGAGCAGAGTAAGAAACCTGAAGTGGAGTTTTCCTGCACAACACTTTTGGAGTATCAGTTAGTTTAACACAAATCTAAAGAGTACTTGCTTGGTGTAAATCTATGGTATTAGTGTAGGGAGGTTTCTTGTCCTTCAGGACAGCCTGAAGTTGGCAATGCTTGATTAGCTGAGTTGATTTAATAGAGATTTTTTTTTTCTTCTTTTCCCCTGCTCTCTCCAGCTGTGCTTGCATTTAGTGAGAGAAGCAGTGGCTGTGTGAGTATATGCTTCATAAATTTGAGCTGCAGTGGTTCAGGATTAAAAAGATTGTCAAAGCTTGAAGTTGTTGGGTTCTTTTTAAATATCCCTGTATATGGGCTTTATTAAAATATTTAGCTGTCCTCAAATTAGCTAGGCCAAATGTACTGCAGTCTCTGTTTCTCATGAAGTGTTTGTCCTGGGATTGCACACAGTAGCACATGGGTAGAGCAGCACAGAAAAGGGAGAGAAAAGAACAGCTATTTGCTGTATCATTGCTGTGCTGCACTTGGCCTTGAGGCTACTTCTGAGGAAGCAAACAGTTAAATTTTAACTCTACATCCTGTTGATCAACGTGGTTTTTTTTCATATGGTTTGAAGCAGACAGATAGTGGATGCAGCTAATCATTAACAGTTCCTTCCATTTCCAAGCTTAATTTTGCTTCTGGGAGTAGCTGGCATGGTCCCTAGCACCCACCTATAATGGCAAAGGGAGGGTTTGTTTGATGGTTTAGTTTAAATTTGCTTCCCAAAGGAAACGTGCTTTTGGAAGCTGTCTTCTCTCGCTTCTCCAGATGAGTACAATGCTGGACTTTTTCCTGATGGATTATGTTGTTTAGGAGTGAGAATCCCATCCCTATTCCCCAAATTTTAAATTATGCTATATATTTATGTTTTGGCATAGGCCAAGCATACTTGAAGCTGGTCTGACTGTTTGCCGGTGCTTGTTAACCTGTGTTAACCCAAACTAGTTTGCCATACTTCGCTCTTCTCCGTATTTGATGTTTAAAGTAGGTTTTGTGCATGAAATAACCAACTAATACTGTTTAGCTGTCTTATTGCCGTATCAGAGCAGACACCTACTCATAGCTACGGGTGCGAAGTGTGGCCAGAGCTTTGGGAATGGTCTAGTTTGTCTGTTACCTGGTATATGTGACTTGTCTCTCTTGGGTATTAACTGTTGTCTGGCTGGATAGCTATGCTATCCTGCCAAAAATTGCTTGTGTTTTGGGTTTTTTCTCTTTTGGAAGTGAGAAACATGGCTTATGACTAAACAATAAACCTCCACATCAACATAAAGCAAAGAGATATAAATAAAAATACAAAAATTAACAACTGTTGTGTTTTGTTTTACGTAACGATCACATAACAATAACATGCAGTCTTTATAGCTCTAGAAAAAGTAATTTCTTCTTGAAGAAGCAAGATGCTGTCTAGAAGCTGATGGGCAGTATATTGCTCTGGGCAAATCATATACTGTGAGCATTTGCTTTGCGTAGGGGCAGAATACTGCCTTGCTTTTCCATTGTACCTGATGTGGTAAGCGTTGCAGTCTCATTTACTTTGAACAGTAAATTAGTGTCTTGCAAAAGCATGCCTGCATTCTCTTCAGGATTTACATATGTGCCCTAATTTGCTGGCCCTGCACTGTGATAGATAGTCTTCTCTTTGCTTTGTCTCATTAGTGAAATGAAGCAAGTCCAGAGGAGGGTCACAAAAATGGTCAGGGGCTGGAGCACCTCCCCTATGAGGAGTTGGGGGTTGTTCAGCCTGGAGAAGAGAAGGCTCCAGGGGACATACTAGCAGCCTTCCAGTACCTGAAGGGGGTCTATAGGAGAGATGGGGAAACACTCTTTATCAGGGAGTGTAGTGAGAGGACAAGGGGTAATGGGTATAAGCTGAAAGAGGGTAGATTTAGAGTAGATATTAGGAAGAAATTTTTTACTGTGAGGGTGGTGAGACACTGTAACAGGTTGCCCAGAGAAGCTGTGGATGCCCCATCCCTGGAGGTGTTCAAGGCCAGGCTGGATGAGGCTTTGAGCAACCTGGGCTAGTGGAAGGTCCTATGGGAGGGTGTCCCTGCCTGTGGCAGGGGCTTGGAACCAGACGATCTTTAAGGTTCTTTCCAACCCAAACCATTCTATGATTCTATAAATCCATGGAAATATTTTACAAATTGCTGCTCTATATTTAATTTTGAATAAGCTGTCTGATACAATTAATATATGCTCTTCCTTTTCTAAGGGTTTTTTTCCGTTAACAAGAATTTGTTGCAAGATTACTTGTCTTTCCAAAGCATGTATGGTACAGCATCTGTTCCTGGAATTTCTTATCCTCTGCTCTAGTAATTTATGGAATTTTCACTGTTCATTGCAGGGAAGAAAAGTTAGTCTTCACGGACTGTCTGCTACAAGAAGATACATCTGTGTATCTGTATCACAGAAGATATACTGTGAAGGCCTTTGTTGTGTTTTATTTCTTTTTTCTTTTGACATCAACATTAAGAGAACGCTCAGTATAAAGATGCATTTTTTGTCCATCTACTGAACAAAAAAAGAATTTATTAGTAACAACAGATTCTTTTTGTGAGAATAAAGTAGAAGCATGGATTTATTTCAAGGGGCATAATAGTATTTTAATATACCCTCTTTTAAAACATTGAAGTATGTGCCTTAAATTGATGTTCTTAGCCATCTATATTGCTATGTTGTTTAGGTGACACTAAATAAAGGGTTCTTTTTGCCTATGCAGTGCTCATGTCTTACAAAATATGAAGAGTTGTGTATTATTAAAGAGTTCTGTAAGATAGTTTGAGACCTTGTATTATTGAACAAAAGGGTTGAGGTTTTGTGGAGGAATTGGAAGAGAGATGATCTAAGGACATGTAGCACAGCACTCAGAGAATGTTTCTTGATCTCACTGAAAGCAAACTAAAAGGCAGAACTAACACGTATGTTTTAGTCTCTAAAAGGAAAAAGAAAAAAAATAATAGCTGGAGTTGAAGAAATACAGGTAGTCTTGTTCTTAAGTCTTTGCTCTGTTGTCTGTGAAACTGGCTGCCAGAGCAAACACAGGTGCAGGGGCTGAAATCTGATGCTGGTATAGTGGTAAATGATTGATTTATAGGTTTGTTTCATTTGGAAAGGTGCTTTTCTTCTTGACTTTAGGATTTTTCAGAGTGTGAGCATTTAGAACAATAAAGCTTGCTCCAAAGCTTTATTGGGATATTGAATTAACTTATTCCAAATAAGGTAATGCAGACATACACATTTAATGTCTTACATTGCTCTGGAAAATCACAACTCTTATTTGTATTAAGATTCCTTGTGCTTCCAAAGTAAAATAACCATTTGCAATGTTCCATGTTGTCTGTTATTTAGCTTTAAGCCGTGAAAACAGGATTGCTTACTACCGCTGCTTTTAGGTGCTTCTCCCCTTGTGTTCCTGCTTGTAAACTGCAATGCTGTGTATCAGAGCTGTTAAGGAGGATTTTGTTTCTTTCTGTACTTAGGGGAATTTAAGATTATTTCAGTGTGTGCAGCAGTTAATGAAAAAAACAGTTCAATTGAAGGCATTTTATAGTGAACTCGGAACACTGAATGCTGGCTTTCCTAGAAATGGCCATTTCCTGGATGCTTACCCTGCTTTTTTGTCTTACCTCGATATAGAAGTAGAGTGACACATAAAAATGAAGCACAAAATTAGTTTGACTCTGCTTCACTAAACAAAACCTTTCACATCACGATATCCATTTTAGATTAGGCCATTTCTAGAGACGTACCCAAATGAGTACTGATGGACAAGGAATTTTCTTTCTTTCTGAACCTTGACTTTCTATTTCTACAACAGTCTCTCCAGGAAGAATTGATGCTTACAGGCTGAGAATTATTTTCCTTGGAAGAAGTGGTGGCTTGATAGGTTTTGTTCAGAGTCACTAAGAGTGATGTATTTTGTCAGATACCATCTCCTACAATGAGATCCTGAGGTTCTAGTAGGTACTTAAACCAGTAAATTAAATCCCTGAATCTTGAAATAGGCTTCCTCGAGGTAGGACTTCCTATGGCATCTGATGCTTGATTTGTACTTGTTCTCCTTCAACTACGGTTTAAGCAGTGGTTATATTGCATGCAGAAGCATGTCTCTGTTCTGTGAAGCTTAGTTTGATCCTTCACAGACTGCTGGACTGACTGTTCTTTGTCTCTCCTAATAAAATGATGGAGCTCAGAATATTTTATATTCCTTTACTTGCATCTTTAAGGCTCTATTTTATTCTTTTCGTGAAGATGCTGTAAACAGTGTGACTGAAACTAGCCTCAGTGCTGAAATTAGTCCTTCTCTATGCAGACTCTTGCTCTGTTATGCACTGATAGCTTTGCTGAAAGAAACTACTGCACAGACTTCCCCAAGCTTAGTCCCCCTCTGGGGCTGCAGGCAAATTGCTTGCTTGTCTGTCCTGGTTTCCCAGCTGGAGAGTTGGAATAATTTATTACTAGTGTCAGTCATAAGAATGTTGAGGGATAATCTGCAAGGACTGTATCTGCATAGTGTCTTTAGAGTGTCAGAGCAGTAATGTATAATTGTAATTTTATTATTAATATTGGTTATTTCATTGACATGTAATTTTCAAAGAATGTCCATGTAGATTAAACTCATTTTGTCAATAAACTGGCATCCTTCCAGCAGCATTAACTTGGTTCAGGCTCTTTGTCTAATCGTGAAGCCTAAATGTGTAGATAGCTCTGTAAAGAAAATAGCAAATGCCTAAAGAAACTCGTACTTTCTTGTTTTTAATCTAGACTGTGGACATCCATAAAGAAAAGGTCGCTCGCAGAGAGATAGGCATTTTGACGACCAATAAGAACACATCAAGAACTCACAAAATAATAGCACCAGCGAACATGGAACGTCCTGTAAGGTATATTCGAAAACCTATAGACTACACGGTGCTGGATGATGTTGGCCATGGCGTAAAGGTAAGAATACCTGGAGACTTGAGGACTCCAAGTAGCACAGACCCAGAGATAGGGTCAGGGCAGAATGTTACTGACATTAAAATGTTTAGTTCATTTATGGTAGGAAGGATTATGGGTTTGGTGTGCTCCCACGTACAAACATTTCAATGACAAAATGGATTGTTTCACAGTGAGGGGTTTTTGAGCAATGTTGGCCATGACCTTGTGACTGTCAGTGGTAGTCACAGTGTCTGGAAAGAATGTCTCATGGTCTTAGGCTAATGACCTGTCAAAAAAGCCATGACTGACTTTTAAAACTATCACACCTCCTCCGATTAAATTGTTTCTGGCCCTCCATTTATTTCTTCCGTTATAGAGAAAAATTAAGTCATCTGTTATGGGGAAACTGGCTGGTGGGGTGGGTTTTTGTGAAGGTTTTTTGGAGGGTGGTGAGGAGAAAAGGGGTCAGGTAGTTGGCATTTAAATCTCAGTGGTATTTGATGTCTCACTCCCATTTGTGCCTTCATAAATTAATGTCTACCTCCCTTGAAATGGTCATAATTGAAGTGAATTATTATAACACCCTTTGCTTCCTTGACATATTTTTATGAAAAATAGCTTTGTATCCCCCCTAGAGCAGGCCTTCCAGGTATATTCAGTTTGCGACAATCTTCCCTTGAATGGCATTAAAAAGCTTTTATTCAACACCTGTGTATCCTCTAAAGCTTGATGTGCTCTGGTCAGTCAGTTGTGCAGCTAGATCAGCCCATCATGTGTCTTTTGTATTGCTGAGCTCTTGAGGAACAGATCTTTCAGAATTACTTGACACAAAGGAGTGCCAGGGTACCTCCTGCTTCACAGTAACCTTCTGAATGCCCAGAGGAGTCTAGTTGCGTTGTGAGTTAGAAAGCAGCTCTATACCATGACAGCTCTAGGCTATGAATTAACGTAGTGACTTTGGACTACCTGATTCTTTTTGTTTTGTTTGTAGCTAAACCTGTAACTCTCAGGGTTGTTTTACACTAATAATTTAAGCCAGACTGGATGAAGCACAATCCTATGTAGAAGCCTGAAAGACATGCCCTGAATTGCTGTAAAATAGAAACACTGGGGTCAGAGAAATTGATAATTTTTCAGTACAGTCTCTGCATTTGAGGAGAGAGCTCTATGCATAGAGAATACAGCAATGCACAAATTCAGTGTCAGGATATTGGTTTCTGCATTTACGTGCTCTAGGGATCAAGTGCTGTAGAAGACTTTTAAAAAGTAGAGTGATTACTGTTAGTCTCTGAAGTTGATGTTTTGCTGAGCTACTTGTATTATGCAGTCCCAAAACAGGTTGCTTGATCCATAAACGCTCCAGTTGTTATGGTGTAGCAGTTGCATTTCCCAATATGACTATTTGCTTTTAGGAGTACTGATGTCTTTATTTTTATTAACATGACCCTATTTGTCTAGGGGGTAGAAATGGGGTGCTGTTTACCTATTTCTAAGTAGCTTTTACAGAACATTTTTATAAAGGTTTTTTTAGTGGTTTAATTCTATATTAAAAATTTGGTCTGTTCAGAGGTAAAATAGCTTCCACTGATAACCAGATTATCAACTCATTACGAGTCAGCTCCAAATTATATCTTGCTATTATTTCTTCATTGAGTGATTAGCCTAAGTCTGTTTTGTGACTGTGGAAGTCACGAAACACTTAGCAGAAAAATGATGTTGGTATTTTCTGTTACACAAATGGAATAGGCTGCCAGCCATGCCTCAGGTATGTAGTTCAAGATGGCTGTCATGCATTTGACACCTTCACCAGTACTGATATTCACTGGTCACAGTGTTGTGAAGAGTGGGCTGAGGTAATGAACGACATAATTAAATATTGTAGCCATCATACTACTGGGGTTCCGAGAGTGTGACACAGGTCATGGCTCTTGAAGGAAGTAGCTTGCTTTGTCTGCAAACCTAGATGTAGCTAGTGCTGTTAAAAGAAAATCAAACCAAAACAGCTTAAGAAACTGATCAGGTCCTGTTGGATGTCAGCACAAATAATAGATGATGGTGAGAATCCGATTTGCCACTTGAACATAAAAATTGGGGGGAAGCATACAATAAATTGAATTGCAAACTTTGTCTTGTCCAAAATGGTTTACAAGGTGCTTCAGACTCTGTTAAGTCTTGTTTTCTTGACCAAAGATTTCAACCCAAGTTGGACAGCAACATGTCCAATAAGGCCTTAGAAACCATGTTTTCCTAGAGCAGAAATTTTAGTTCTACTTAGAGCACTGTCAGTTTGACTAACATGCAGTCCTCGAGTGTCTTCTGCTGTGGCAGCTGTCAATAAAATACAGTACAACACATGCATTGACACTTAAGTATTAAATAAAAATTATGCAATACTTTGAAATTTGTAGATGACAGTTTATTGCTGTTAATGGGACTGTCTGTTGTGTTCTGGTGCAGGATTTGATAAAGAAACGGAAAGGAAAAATACAAGGAAGATAAAGATAAAGATATAGGCTGGATTATAGCCTGTTTCTGCTTTTATTTATTTAATGAAATACTGATCATAGGAAAAATATTAAAATATGCAGTGTATTTTAAGGGATGATCCTGAATTGTTTTATATAGAGTGTAAATAAAAATACTGTCTCATAGAACTAAAAAAAAATAAAATAGGTGGGTATTCCTCTGTACATCTTTCATCTGAGCAAATGCAGAAACACCTCCTATGCATACTCAAAGCTCATTTGCTTTGTGTGTGTCTCTGATGCTTCTCGTGGCTGCATAGAGGGGATACAAAAGCAGATGCCTGTGCTTGGGGCATGGAGAAGGGCTCTACATGCCCCACTCTCTCACATGCAGCAGGTTTGGTTTTTTTTTGGTGGGGGGGAACTGAGGGTAAGCAGCTGCTCTTTATAGCAGGTTTCCTCCCTGATGGGAGACACCTCCTTGGAAGGCAGTGCTATTTCCTTCTCCAGCAGCTTCTTGGTAGAAGAGCTTTTGTAGAGCATCCTAGGATCGCAGAGGTGCTTCCTCCTTCAGCTTGAAAGCACCATGGCAGCCCTAAGCTGCCCCAGCTGCTCCACTCACTGTCCCTGTCTTCCCTTCGCAGAGGCAGATGCTCTGTTTGGAGACTTTGTAAAGTTGATTTTTTTTATATACATGCCTATGAAACCAAGGATCGCATCAGTCGGAATCAGATCTTTTAAAGTTGGTTTGCTAGTGAGAAGGCTTTCCCTTGCAACACAAATATTATGTGTAGATGGCTCCAAGAAACACATAGACAAGCATTTTTGCCGGTCTGTTAAGTAGTTGCTCAGCTGTCACCCTCTGGGGATAGGGGAATGTAGCTGAAGTCATTCTTGCTAAATAAGAGTAACTGTTGTGATGTGAGAGCCTATCTTCCTGTGTATAGCTTGGTTTAAAAATATTAGGCAGGGGCTGCTTTAATGTTTCCTTCCTT